CCCTTGACTGAGCTAGAGGGAAGCTCTCTTTTTGCACCTATGAATCACTTCTCTTTATGTAAGTTCAGTTTGTCTCCGCTCTGCAACCCTGTTGCATCTGTGATGAGCAAAGCTAGCTCAATCACCCCACGTACACCTGGGGAACAGGAGGTAAACAGAAAGTGGACGAGGGTGGATTAAGAAGGGTGCTTAACAATTCCCATGCTGGTCATGAAGGCCATGACAGATCATTTGAAGACCACAAAGTGCAGTTCAGAAAGGGGACGAGGGTGGATTAAGAAGGTGTTTAACAATTCCCATGCTGTTTATGAAGGCCATGACAGATTATTTGAAGACCACAAAGTGCAATTCTGGGAAGCTGTGTTTTTTTTTCTGCTGTGTTTGTTTGTCTTGTATTCAGCCCAGTAATGAAACAGAACATTCTCACTGTCTGCTGAAGGTTAGAGTCCTCTAATATGTTTCTGGGATGAGCAGAAGGCTTTCTGTCTGGCTTTCATGCTTTAAAAGTAAATAAACAAATAACTAAATAAAAGCTCAAGGGGACATACACACACTCCTCATCTTCATGGCCTTGCTCAGCCATTCACAGCACGAACAGCAAGTTGTGTGTGTGTTCATGCTGAACACTTAGAACCACATCTGCTTCTATGTGATTCTGAGTGTTCAGCATGAAGAAGGGAAATGATGGTGCATTTTGAAAAAAAAAAAGTAATACTGTAAATTAAAATTAAGGTTGTGTTTTGCTTTCAGATATATTCACATGGAAGAGCTTTTTTCATCAAGATTCATTTATCATTATGCTAGTATAAAGAGATGGCAAAGCAGCTGTAAAATCTCTGTCAGGGCATAAAGGCTTCTCTCAAAAATCAGGTCCCTATAGTGAGTCCCAAATTTGAGCAGCATGGCAGAAGCAGATTTATTTCTAAGGGTGTCTGCAGCCGTGCCAGAGTTTAAGGCTCTGAGCTGACCCAAACCTGAAGGCTCCTTTAATCTGTGCTGTCATCTACACTGCTAACAGACAGTTTCATAATCGGGTAGTACAAGACACTTTTTAAACATTTTTTTTTTAGTACCACATTCATTATAGACTTGTGAAGCCTTACTGATATCAGATGGAGGCAGCCAGTAAGATGAATGAATGATAGTTCTGTATTATCTATGGTTTTATTTCAAGGGTTTTCAAGTCCTCATTAAGACCTTTTCTTCCACTGATCTTGGATAGTTTGAGGTCTGTTGTAGCTGTGGAATGATTAGAGAGCAGAAGTCAGCTAATGTGAGATTAAATTTCCTTGAACGGTTGCAAGGATGGTATTATCCATAATATCACCCAGCTTTTCAGGAAATGGTCAGTCTACAGAGCTTGCGCTGGCTAGATACGCGATGCAGGTAGGAGTTATAACCTTTAAGTCCTATACTTGTTTTTGGTTCTCTCTATAAGACATGAATCCAGTGGTCTCATTTGGTTTGCTTGTTTTTAAGGTGAGGCACGGAGAGGAAAGGCTTTTGTTCAACGAGTTAACATGAAGCCACTTCCAGCATTCATAGTTTTCAAAGTGAAACATGGACTGTTAAACTACTGCAGCATCAGATCATACTGATTTAACTTATGCATATTTTAGATTGAACATTTATTTCAGCTGGGGTTACACATGAGAGAGAGAAAAGAGCAAATTTTTTCTGGTTTGTGTGCAAAATCGGAGAGTTCATATACTTTGCCTGGTAAACATAGATTTGCATTTAATGCAAAGAATATAGTCTAATATTCATTATACAAAGTATATACAAAGTATAAAGTATATATTTTAGAAGCTAAAAATATTTTAAACAAATTTACTAGGTAGTCTTTTTTTCTTAAACACATATTTGGGTTTTGCTTCCCATAAAAAACTAGACCTTGAGCTTACCATCTTCATTCTGCATTGAGTATGAAAGTAACAGCTTGCTTATTTTTAATTATCTCTGCCATAGGAAAGACTTATTAAATTGTTGGAGCTTTTCTAGGATCTGAGTGAATATTTTGATAAGTGTTTCATGTATTGACAGCACTGCAAAAAATATTTTTGTTTCTTATTTTAAATCAAAGCATGATGTACAAACATGGTTAGAGGAATGTATTTATGGCCCAAGTGTGGGCTTGAAACAAACTGTTCATGTTTCTTTCCCCAATGTCTTTGCAGTCTTCTGATGATTTGGAGAATCATATTTTTTAATCCTCTCACATACATCAAAAGGCTCTTGGTTGCTGGTGAAATGCAAGAGAAACTGATGGAAAACAGATGTTGGTGATAAAGGACTTGGAGACACTTGGGAATGTTTTCTCTGCAGGAGGGTCCTGAGAATAGCCAGCTATTCTCAGTTAGCAGTCTAACAGCAGTTAGCAGTCTAACTGCACCAGCTTGAGAGGGTTGAACTGGAGAAAGTGCACACAGTCATCAAGCAAGAGTGATGAGTTGTGGATGTGGATGGATTTGGATTGTCAAGTTTCACAAGAGTTACTAGGCTGCTGGTTTTTAGGATTGTCGTGGTTTAAGCCCAGCCGGCAACTTGGAACCACGCAGCCGCTCGCTCACTCCCCCCCTTTTCCTTCCTCCCCCCGCTCCCGGAGGGATGGGGAGGAGAATCGAAGGAATGTAACTCCCACGAGTTGAGATAACAGCTCTCCAGTAACTAAGGTATAATACAAACCACTACTGCTACCAATAATAATGATAAGAGGAATAACAAGGGAAAAGGACCCAACCGCTCACCACCCGCCGACCGATACCCAGCCCGACCCGAGCAGCGATCTGGGCCTTCCGGGTAACTCCCCCCAGTTTATATACTGGGCATGACGTGCTGTGGTATGGAATACCCCTTTGGCCAGTTTGGGTCAGGTGTCCTGTCTCTGCTTCCTCCTGGCTTCCCCTCCTCTCTGGCAAAGCATGAGACTGAGAAAGTCCTTGGTCAGAGTAAACATTACTTAGCAACAACTAAAAACATCGGTGTTATCAGCATTGTTCCCAGACTGAAAGTCAAAAACACAGCACTGCACCAGCTACTAAGAAGGAGAAAAAATGACTGCTATAGCTGAACCCAGGACAAGGATGGAGACACTTTGGGACCAATCAGTTATCATATACCTAACCAGAGCTTGCACATGTTGGAAATACTGGAAATAACTTTGTAAATCATTGTAGTCTGGCTGACTGATTGAAGCTTGTCTGTTGCTGAATCAGAGGGAGGAGTATAGTGCTTGGTTCAGGCAGTATCCTCAGCTAGATTTTGAGGGAATTTGGTAAGCCTGAACGAATTGAGGGTAGTATTACTTCCCAAATAGGGAGTTAATGTTTTGTTAAGCACAGAGTTTAAAAGTGCTCTGATATTTCAAAGTCCTTTGCCTGCTGGGTAAACAATGTAAATGTTGCATGTCAGAGACCATTGCTCTGGAAGTTTATTATTCTGTATGTCCCATAGAAGAAACTAAAACTGCACAAGAAGAAGACGATAACTTCTTTGGTGAAGTTAAGAATTTGATGTTTATCAACTACCCTCATTTTTAGAAGGTTCACACTCTTTACTTGCAACATGAGAAAAGGTAACAGAAATTCTAATTTCACTGTGGAGGCTCAGACTGGATATTTAAGGTAAAATGTATAGAAATTACATGGTAAACATTACTTGTCCATCTCTTTGAGATGTGTGGATGTGAGAGGTTATTACATTTGTAATCAAGCTTCTTGAGTGCAAATGGGATGGTGAAAAACAGTTTTCAACACTTATTTCTGATGTGTATGCCAGTGCACAGTCTTTCATCTCTACTCGCCTGCATCCTGAGCAGATGTGTAGATGTGTGTTGTGAGAGGATTATTTTCCTCTGTCAAGTTTTACATCATAAAGGAAGAACACCTTGACCTTGCCTGATGGTAGCCTCAGTGGAGTCCTACTTTTCTTGTGGCTGATTTTAGTTTTAAGCTAATATTTGTACAGCCTGACATACAGCATCTGGTCGAGCAGGGTTCACATTCCATCACCCACATACTGTATATGACTCTTTTAACGAGCCAACTACTTTTAAGTGACTAGAACTGCTGAAACTGCCACACAGTCACCACTAAACAGAATAAGTTTTGCAGAGAGCAAATGGTCTCAGGGTACAGGGGCCTTGCAGCTTTGTTTGCAGTAAAACTGAGCATTAACTTCTTTTCAGAGAAGGCTGGCAGGCAGGAAAAAAGTGCACACTAGTTACATGTTACCTCACTGTGTGTTAAGCTGATGAATAAATAGAATTGAGTAACATTTGTCAATAAGTGAAACTTTTGCATGAGGAAATGAAATTAAGAAAATGTCATGAGTTAAACAACTAGAAAAACAGCATAAATCATGCATGATTATTTTTAGTGCTTTTACTTGACCTGTGTGCATTTTTTGAAAGTCTATGTATTACTTGAAATCTCTTACAATGATTATTCAGTCTTGCATAAAAATATGTTCTGCTTCCCCTTCCCTTTCCTTTCCATGTTTCACTTTTTAAACTTAAAAGTAACTTGATATCTTGATACAAGGGTCTACAATTAAAAACCCTTTAACAATTTAATAACAATACTTTAACAATTTCTGAATTTATTAAATATTGCCTTTTTCTCATGTACAGACCTCTCATTGACTTACCCCTAACACCAGCCTTAATATCCAAAGCAACAACTGTTGGAAAACACATAGTAAAAAGCATGTAAAGCCTGTGCCATAGGACAAAGCAAGTATGCCAGGCAAAATCCTGGTTTGACTGAAAAAAAACCCAACACTAAACCTGGAAAACCAACATGTGAACTTACTGACCTTTGTGCTTTGATAGTTTCTGGAATTACTGAATAGTGGGGATGGGCTGAGGGCTGAGGAGGAGAGTTTGGGGGTTGGCTTAGGCAGTGAGGTAAGGTTACATATAAGGCAGCTGCAGCGGATTTGGGAACACTAACGGACTATATTCCCTGGTGCGCAGCTCAGCGAGTTTGGATCCTGGAATCATGAGTGGCTGCCCCTTCGCAGGGAACAGTTACCTGTGAGTCCCTCGTCCCTGTGTTTTCTTCATAACATCAGTTCAAATGATACAATGTTGAAGTAAAATATGAAAGCTCAGAGAGGAATTAATGACTGTTGACAAATAGACAGCTGTAGCTATCGCTAAAGGAAAAGAGATTGCACAAGGTTGTCTGAGCACTTGTTATTTGATGAAGTAGATGTAATGCTACCAGCTGTTACTGTGACAAGAGGTATTTCAGGTGTACTGTTTTTTGCAAAAGTCTGCTTTAGTGGTTCAGTTTCTCAAAACAAAGCATCATTTGAATTGCAGATGCATATGTTAGTAAAAAGGCAGGTATATTCGTAGTTCTTTAATTAAATAGTTTATATATTTACTTAATTTTCTTCTTAGATTTAATTTTAACAAGCTATCTTTGGAAGATGAAAAAGATGACAAATCACAAGAAGGAATAAATAAAGCCAGCAAAGGTGGACTAGTCTATGGAGAATATCTACAAGTAAGTTTAAGTATTTCATGTTTACTGTCCTGGTCACTCTTGAGACTTGAGCCAGGATGTGTGACTGATGCTTCTCCTAGCAGTCAGCCAGACACTATGAGAGGTCTGAGGTGCCCTTCATCTGCCTGTCTCCATGTGCAGTCATGGGCACAGGTGCCTTTCTCAACTGGGATGGGGCCAGTAGACTGGGGATGAATTCTCAAACTGCAGGGAAGATGGATATTTTTAGAGGGGAGGTAAAGGGACTGGGAATTACTTCCATTGGTAAACCTAAACTGTGAAATGGTGCACCACAGAAGTCTTTCTTTGGTCTGACGATCACCACTTGACAATTTCTCCACATCAGCAGGCTGTGTGCAACTTCCCCGAATTATTGCATGAAAGCCCAGAACATTTGGCTACGAAAATATATTGCAGAAATCAATGGGGTGGGATGATGACGCACAAAAAACCCCAGACAACCAACCAATGCCAAAAAACGCCCAAACCCCAACAAAACAGACAACCAAACAAAAAAATGCAACAACTAGAAGTAATTAAGAGATAAGTAAAAATAAAATGCCATAAAAGCATCTGGACTTTTTTTTTTGGGGTGACAGCATGAACTGAAGTGAGTGGAATTACTCTGTGCTTGTGAACAGAAGATTGATTTGTTGATGATATGGACTCTTGCATATTTCTTTTAAAACAGCCATGATTAGATTGTAAATTTGTCTTGGAAAAAAAATTATTAATGCCAGAAATTAAACCACTAGTACACCCTCAAATCAGAGTTCTCATGCAGATTATTGTATGATTACACAGAATTTTATATAGAAACTCCGTTTTCATGGAACATGTCAACATAGATAGTAAGGTTTGGAAAACAAGCTGGATATTTTGTTTTATCTTTTTTCATAATTAAAAATACCCTTCAAATGATTTTCCAAACTTTATTACTTGATGTTATCTAAATGTTCCATTTTAGGCAAGATTTTTTTCATAAATTAAAAAGTAAAAGTGCCACCTGAGACCATTTAGTCTAACTTCTCATACCTCATACCAGCCTTCCTACAAGGGGGCCTACAAGGATGCTGGAGAGGAACTCTTCTTTAGGGATTGTAATGATAGGGCAAGAGGTAACAGGTTCAAACTTAAACAGGGAAGTTCAGGTTGGATATAAGGAAGAAGTTCTTTACAGTGAGGGTGGTGAGGCACTGGAACAGGTTGCCCAAAGAAGCGGTGAATGCTCCATTCCTGGCAGTGTTCAAGGCCAGGTTGGACAGAGCCTTGGGCGACATGGTCTAGTGTAAGTCATCCCTGCCCATGGCAGGGGGGTGGAACTAGATGATCTTAAGGTCCTTTCCAACCCTAACTATTCTATGATTCTATGAGTCCGCTATATATTTAATATCCTTAAATATTAGCTCTACACAGTAGGACTATCATTGCTAATAGCAGCATTGAGAGCTTTATAGAACAGTCCTATCTTTGTTTTTAAGCTGAACAAAATATTGAATGCTCAAGAACTTCAGAGTGAGAAGAAAGGAAAGAAAATCCATGATGAGCATCTTTTTATTGTAACACATCAAGGTAAGTGGCTGAAAGGAGTTCAGCTGTGGTTGGCCAGCATTTTTGCCATGGGGAGTTACTCAGTGCTGAAACATGGAATACACAGTTTGTTTTCATTTTAAACACAATCAATACAATTCTTCTGTATTTATATTGGTATATGTTTCTATATAATTTGTAAGGCTGTAACCAGCTCTGTGCTTGTGAAGCCAAAAGTGTAACCTTTGGATTTGGTAAAACATGATTTGGATGGTTCTGTTTCTAGAGAAATTAAGGTGGTGAAATTCATTCCCTGTCTGAGTAATAGGCTTCTATGTAATTTATTGTAGGCAAATTTTGTGTGTTGGCTTGTGCCTTCTCTGAAACTTCAATCCAATTGTAACCACCTATAGTCTGTCTAGAAGCTGGCATACTGGTTAGGTGCTTCCCAACTGCTAATATCCGTGTGTTTTGCAGGCCCTGGCCTAATGCTGTTTTCCTGTTATTGGCAGAAAACATGTAGATGCCATAAAGATTGTAAGCAGCTCTGGAGATAGCTTTCATTGGAGTATCAGATCTAGATTTTCTCCTTCCTCCTTTTGTAATGAACATTTTGTACATCAAATATCTGATGTGAAAAGATGCTTCAGAAATTCTGTCAACATTTTCAACGCTACATTATTTCCTGTAATAGCTTAGGTAAAGGATAGCATACTGTAACAGGTAAAACATTTGTGTATCAGCATCATTTTGTACATCAGCAGTGTAAATGTAGGCTATTAATTTCAAATCAAAAAGATGTTATGAAGAAAAAACAAAATAATGTTGAAGTTAATGCTAGAAATGCCTTTCTTGTTGTAGCTTATGAACTTTGGTTTAAGCAGATTCTGTGGGAAATGGACTCTGTGCGGGTCATCTTTCAAAATGGCCATGTAAGTTAAAAGCAAATATTAATTTTGGGAAAATGCATGTGTATATGAAGAAAATTTGAAACTCGACATGACTGAAAGAATAGTTTTTCATTATTTATTTGTTTTAAAAGCTAAACTTTGTTTATAATCAGAATTTGAAATGTCAGTGCTAAGGTTAAGCATGCAGCCAGGCAATTAAGGAAATGGTTTTCATCTTTCATTTTTGTAGCTTGGTATTTTCTAGTTGCATGCCCAGGGCATAGGGAGAAGTTTAATCCCATTGAAACTAATAGGAATTTTAGCAGACTGCCCTTCAGGCAGCGTTCAATCTAGCCAGAAGAGAGCTCCTGTGTTTTCCATTTAATATTTTATGTTTCCCAACAGATACAGTCTTCTCTGTTTTCCTCTGCTTTCTAATGCATGTCTCTAATGAATATCTTTTTAGATGTGCTCTCCTGATGTACCTCTGAGATTATTCTGCTTCTCAACTTTTAAGTACTTTCCACATCTGCCTTACAACTTGTCCTTCACAATAATAGAAATGGTTGTAGAATTGATTATAATAGAAAGAATAATTATATCATGTATCATTAAAATTGGATTTTAATAATTGGAAATGATCATGATATAAATTTATTGTGATTACTTTTATCTTAGCCAAAAATGTAGAAAAGAAAAAAATCCCACTATATGTTTATCAGAGTTGTAACGTATTATCAATCTGAGAAAAACAGATTTCAATCTTTGAAAATTATAGTTTCAGTTTTCAGTTAAAACCAGGGCTCTCTATTCAAGATGAGCTTCTGCTGCTATGGATTTCACATAGAAAGGACTTGGCAACTATAGGGATGTACAACAGTGAAAAGACCTGAAATAAATAGGTAGGATATAAAGAGAACATAATTCTGTCTGATTATGACCTTTATGTTTTCTACAGGTAAGAGATGAGAGGAACATGCTCAAGGTTATTACTCGAATTAACAGAATTTCAATGATTCTGAAATTACTTGTAGAACAGTTCTCAGTTTTGGAAACTATGACTGCACTGGACTTCTTTGATTTCAGGTAAATAGTTAGTATTCCTCCACAGTCATCCATGAACTCATAATTCCCATCCTTAGAGCTCATGGTAAATTTTTAATGCTCCCTAGCTAGAAAGCACAAAAAATTACAATTCTGCTTTTCTTGGAAGTGTAAAACAGCTGTATCACCCAGCAGTACACTACAGCAGGGGGAATCCATTGGCTAATTGTCTGTTTTGATGCATTCTTGCTTCTGCTTTTCAACCACATACTGCCATTTGATAAGTAAACACAAGATCAAATCTATGACCTGTTTCTGCCAAATCTTGTACTTGCAATTCAAAGTACACTACAAATCTAGCAATGTAGGATTTCAGATTACTTTTATTAATTGTTATTTTAGCATGGTGACACAATTTAACAATGAAAGAATCCTGTTAATGAATCCCTCAAACAAAACACACTAAATGTTCGTCTGAACGTTTGTTGTGTACATAGCAATTATTCTGTGTAACAAGCCTATTTAAAGTGCATTCATTGGCACTTTCATGATGTGAAAATTTTTGTAGTAGCCATTTGTGGTGAAGCTGCTTATTTTGTCTGGAAAGAAAATTATCTTCACTGAAGTTTTCTCCTGTACAACACATATGCAAAGCAGCCATTTTAAAACACAGTACAAACATAAGTGTGTCTATATATTTGTGTATGCATAAAAAATATATAGCTAGAAAAGTAGAATATGTTATACATGCATTGTAGTTGCATTAAAATAGGTTGGTTTTCTTTTAACTGAAATCATATAAAAATTCTCAGATATCTATTTGATATTCTTGAAAGTGAAATGTGGTGTTTTTTTTTTTTTGTTTTGTTTTGTTGAGAAACAGAGAACACCATAATTTTAAAATAATATCCTGTCTTTTCGTATCTTCTTTTCTTCTGTTCCCCAAGATACTACCTAAGCCCAGCCTCAGGTTTTCAGAGCCTGCAGTTTCGCTTGCTAGAGAACAAAACTGGTGTTCCCCAAAGTCTGAGAGTTCCCTATAACAGAAGGCACTATCGTGATAATTTCAAGGGACAGGATTATGAACTACTGCTTCAATCAGAGCAAGAACCAACTCTACTGCAACTTGTGGAGGTAACAATGTCTGCCTTAGACCTTCCTTCATCTTCCCCCATCTCTCAAGAATGTCCTTTATTGGTGTCAGTGACAAATTCTTCTTTCTTCAGAGAAGCAATCATGCTGGCAATTTCCCAGACAGTTTTTTTGATTCTTACCAAATTGTATATGAAAGAGAGTTGGTCATTATTAAACCAACTGATTTTTCACAGCATTTCTCTTGTCTGAAAAGTCTGATTGTTAAACTAGTAAATTGCATTGTGGAAGTATGATCTAAGAATATAAATGTACTGTTTCATTCACACCATAAACCCTTTTCAGAAGAAAACTTTAAAAATATCTCCACTATTAGGGATGGCTATTAGAGAGGTTAGAACAAGAAAAGGAAAAATAAGAACTAAGAATGGAAATGATAAGAGACTTTTAACAAATGTTTCATTATCACTTGCCTTGTTTTAATGACTTTGTCTCAGAGCTATGAATGACTCTCAGTAATTTCTCTCGCTCTTTGTCATTTTCACACACAAACTTAGATAACTTTATAAAGAATAATGCAGGATAAATCTCAATAAAAGTATCCAATCTTATTGTCACTATCCATTTGACTAATGGCACCTAAAGCAGAATATATAAGAAATTTCTCTAGCTTTCTTTTCATTTGTCAAGACTTCATGTTCTCTCTTTGAGATGAAGAGTGATCTCTAAAGGGAGTTTGACCTTAAAGGTTCCTAATTTTTCCCCTCCAAATTTCATTCCCATTAGTAAAAGGAAATCAAAGAGAAAGTTTTGTTAACTGCCAACTAAATTTCTGCAATAAGCACCTCAATGGGACATTAAACCAGAACAACTGTAGCAGTATGATTTATGCTGCGGCAACTTGTGTTTGTAAGGTAATGCACTTGCATTATTGATGTTTGAGTACATTATTATCGTAGTCATCATTCTTGTTGTTATTAAAGGCATGGCTGGAAAGAACTCCGGGACTCGATGCTGAAGGATTTGATTTCTGGGGACAATTTGAAGTGAATGTTTTAAAAGGTCTAGAAGAGGAATTTGCGTTGTTGCAGGTACGTAGTATACTCTGGATCTAACTGTAAGCAAAGATCTAACTGGAAGCGGGCAAAATGACACCTTGACATAAATTTGACTTCGTGTTTATTTGCTTCACTGCAATAAATGGAAAAAAGTTACATTTTTTTTTTTCAGGAAATCTGAATAAGTTTGTAGTTTGACATCTAAGATGGTTTAAAGATTGTGATACATGTATGATTTCAATTGCAGAAGGAAAATGATAGTATCAATGGAAGGGTTGAAACTGATTTTACTGAACTACATCTTCACCTTTAGTTAGTACTTGCATGTACTGTGCAGGGTAAACATGAAGTTTGAGGCCCTGAGCTGAGACTATGGAGTGTCACTATAAACAGCCTATTTCTATTTAACAGTACGTGGCAATTTGCTGCATATGATTCTTTGAATTACACTACCAAATTAGCACAAGAATATCCCCAAAATATTTTAAGACTCATAGCTTTAAGAACATTTTTAATGAGAAAAAATGCATAAGAATTAATATATTTCCTGAGAATATGTTTACAATTTTCTAACTTATCTAAGTTTTTGTTCATAATTTTCTAACTTATCTAAAAGTTTTATTTACAATTTTCTTACTCATAGCTGTTCAAGGTGGTCTTCCTTTTTGCCTTGAAGATTAAGTGATTTTAAGGCCTCTAGATGCAAATAAAAGTGATAAGCTGCCAGTTTGTTTGAACATTCATTCATCTGAGTTGTGTTGACAGATATTTAATTGTACATTTTGTGGTGTTTCTTAAAGGACAGTGACTCATTTATTTTGTTTGAAAATACAGTTCTTACATTTCAGATGTGAACTTACAGAGTATTTCTGATGAAAATAGAAGTTACGTTATGGGTCATTCAAGCACTTAATTTTCCTTATTGAATTCTAAAAACAGCTTTTGTTTTAAATATCTAAGGCCAAACCAGAATCAGAAGAAAAAGATGATGAATTATCTGAATTCCAAAAACAGAAAGATGTATTACTATCATTATTTGATGAAAAACGCCATGAACACCTGCTTAGTAAAGGTAGATTGCATTAATATGCACTTTTAACTTTTTATACATGATCTATATAAACACATAATAGTATTAAATTTGCAGGAGAATCAGTAACAGACTAAGGACACTCATATTTTGCAGGAGAAAGACGACTGTCTTATAAAGCACTGAAGGGTGCCCTAATGATCTACTTCTACAGGTAAAGTTAGAAAAGGTATTGCTAATGCTTAGTGGCAGGAGGGGAAGTGAAGGTTAAGGACAGCAGCACAGATTTATTTAGGTTGCAAAAGGCCTTGGAAAGTACGATTGTACAACCCTCCACAAAACCCAGCTTGAAGGTCAGGTCAGTTGAGTTTTGAATATCTTTTCAAGGATGTAGGTTGGCCTCTTTGGGCAGCTGGTTCGTGTCTGTCCAGCTGCTGCTTCTGAGAGTGTAACTGGCAAATGACTTGTTCAGACCATTCTACAAAGGGTCCTAGGAAGAGTTAGAGCGATTTTCCAAGTATGAGAGAAAAGGCACAGATTCAGTCTTTTGTGGTAGAAGCATTTCTTAGAATATCTACTGACATTTTGATACCAATTTAGGAAAAAATATGTATGTTAAGTCATTATTATGCAATGGTGAAGTGCTACTTCGAAAAATACCACATATCATAAGAGGTCCCACTGTCTTCTCTTTCATTTTCCAAGGGAGGAGCCTCGTTTTCAGGTTCCCTTTCAACTTCTTACTTCCCTTATGGATATCGATGTGCTCATGACCAAATGGAGATGTAAGTTCCACTGTCTGACTGTGATGCTCCCTCTTTTAGATGCAAGTAAATTGCTCTGTTTTACCTTGTTTTAAACAAGTTATGCCCAGAGTTTTAGAACTGAGCTGAGTTCATCTTTTAGGAATGACTTTTTTTTTTATTTTTCATGCTTCATACAAGAGGAAAAATGAACAGCTTCTTCTGTGATCATTAGATACATAGGTATAGCTGTCACTTCTAAGACATGCTATAAGTGAACAATTTCATTTAAGTGACAGGTATATATTTTCTAATGTCTCCCAAAATGTGACCATGTCATTTCATCATAGAATCATGGAATGGTTTGAGTTGGAAGAGGCCTTAAAGGTCATCTAGTTCCAATCTTCCTACCATGATCAGGGACCTTTCACTCGATCAGGTTGCACAAAGCCTATCCAAACTCATGAAGACATCATATGCAAGCATTCTTTCTGCTTCTCTATCTGGACATCTAGAAATTAATTCTGTTTTAACAGAGCATAATAATGTATAATAATTAATGTATTCTTTCTATATTAACTATAATTTTATATTAGTTGACTGAAGAGTGGCAGAATTAAGCCCTGCATTGCTGAATACCTAGTAGTGTTATATCTATGTAAAGATCTCTGTATGATCTTTAATATTTCAGTGATGCACCTTGATATGACCCTTTGGTTGTATCTTAACATGAACATACACCGTCTTTCTTTTCTGTTACTTAGATAACCATGTCTGCATGGTGCACAGAATGATTGGCAGCAAGGCTGGCACTGGTGGCTCATCAGGCTACCAGTATTTGCGCTCAACAGTGAGGTAAGAATAACGTGTTTCCCCCATCACCTGCAATAATGCAGTTCGGACATACTCTTGATTCCAGGAGACAGATTCCAGACAGCTCACTGGAGGACAGAGAGCTGTTGTTTCTCTTCCGGAATTCTAGCATTTCCTCCTGCTGATCGTAACATTGCTTTCCAGGTTGACATATACAAATTCCAAGCTTTTTGGAACAAAAAGAACTGCTTTTGCTAACCTATGCAAAGTGCCACATATAATTCTCAGTCAAGTGATCTAGGCATTACTGTAACAGCAGCAGTAGTTAACTCTGCATTGTTTAGTTCGTGTGCAACTGTTGATGCATAACTTCCTGTCTTAGCATGACTTCTAATCGTACAACCTAGGGTACTTCAATTTAGGACTGAATATATTCTTAAGGCTGACAGTAATTAACACTCCCAACCAGTGCAGGCAACAATCAGAAGTATGATTCCTTTTGCTGGATGAAGCAGAAAAGGAACTTAGAAGGGATGTTTGGGGCCTGAGCACAGAACTCTCTGAATGGGTTTGTTTGTTTGTTTGTTTGTTTTTTAACACAAAATTGGAGGATTCAGCTAATTAGACCATTCAGGCCTTTTAGCTGCAACTATGTCCTAACAGTCCTGAACAATATTATGTCAAAAAGCAGAAGCATCTTTAGAACATCTTCTACCAAGAGCACCTTCTTTGAGATTTGATTTCAAAGAGAAACCATATGTAAGCAGTAACTGCCATGCCTGGCTGTGGATTACAATTCCCACCACAACCATCCTAACAGAGGGTGGAATTGAAATCAGATGGTTACATTGAATTTGAGGAGTAAAGGTTCACTGTCTTTTTCAGTAAGTCTTCTCACTCTTCCTTGCTTTCAGGTTAACCTTCTTCCTAGGTAAATTCTACTTTTTATCTACTGTGAGAGTGGAGGTCTGGAGATCATAGCCTACACACTGCATTTTCAGGAGAAAGGTGTGACTATAGCAACTATGTTTCCTTTTAAGCCTGATCTGATATGCCCTGTAAAAAGGGTTGTATTTCTACTCTGGAATACTCAGGTGGAGTAGTGTAAAAATCTTGTTAAAGAGGTGGAATGATTCCTGAAGATTTTGAAACTGCGACCTTCCACGCCAATACCACAGTATTAATTGCTCTGATTGTCTTTTTCAGTGACAGATACAAGGTGTTTGTGGATTTGTTCAATCTTTCAACATTTCTAGTGCCAAGACACTGGATACCAAAGATGAACCCAAACATTCATAAATTCCTGTACACTGCAGAATACTGCGACAGCTCCTATTTTAGCAGTGACGATTCTGACTAGCCTACTTCTCTGGACTGGTTGTTGTAAAGAACTTCAGGACTTCCACCTCCAGTGGTGCTGTCCCTCAAATGTAACAGCTACTCTCATGGAGCATGAGTGTGTAAATATGTATTTATGCATGACAGCTATATGAATAGTATGAATGCCTTGTGGAAGGAACTTAATTTTTATAGAAAAAAAATAACCCTTACTGAGTTAACCTATATTGACTAAAATGATACCCAAATTCAACTCAATGACCAACTTAATTCTTCATTGGCTTCTTAAAACGTACAGCTAGAGGTTTTTAAAACCTACAGCAAATTATACAGAATTGCTATGATCATGCCTTATTTGTACATATTTTTGTATTTGTTTGTTTGCCTAATGGTGTTATTAACTTACTTCTAGTAAATTAATGTTTAGTCTCATCACCTTCAGAAGAGTATTAGTTTCTGAGCTCTTGTGGAATTTCAAACGGAATTTTGTGTTAAGAATGTCAAAAGCTAGACTGAAAAAAAATCATTCCCGAATCCATAGAAACCCAAGTGTCTTGAAGTTTTACATACATCAAGAATCATGTTGCTATCTGTTACAAGTGAATGTACAAACACTTACTGTTAAGAGCAGCAGATACACTTACTTTGCACTGCAAATAAAGCAGTATTAAAGCTCACCTTTTCTTAATGCTTCTTCTAAAGCAAAAGTAAAGTTCAAACAACAGTATGATAGCCATTTAAAGTGGTTTTTATTCAAAATATCATTGAAGTAAGGATAAAATTGATACATAATAAAATCAAGGCAAACTGGCAATAGAATATTGATTAAACTGTGTAGTCTTCTTGGATGGAGGCTCCTCTTTTTAATCACTTCCCTTGGAAATACACATACACTTGTAGGCCTAACTTCTACTGAGTTGCTCTGTGCCTTAGGTACTTACACACATCACAAACACTAGTGTAATAATCTGTGTCTGATACTACTATAACAACATTACTTTTATCAATGCCAACTGGAAACTTTGGCTATTGTTTTCGAGTTATGGAAGTTAAGTATGCTATTTGTTGCTTGTAAACTGTTAAAATATTAACACTTAGAAGTAGATGACTAAAATGACAATACTTACAACAGAAAATGATGAATGCTCATTGTGTCTGTCATAAGAAGGTTATAAATACACTGATCTAGTAACATGGTACAGTAATTGAGTGCAAAAACTATAGAATTGCTTCAGTATTCTTCACAGTAGTGCTTCATAAAATACACAGATTCCAGAAAGATTCAGAGCATTTTAGTTACGTTTGGTTGTGAAATCTAGTTATGACCAGCAAAGCTGGCACCCCTTTCTGATTCCCAGCAAGTCCCACCTATGAATTCAATTAATTAATGTAGTGAAATTTAACACCCACTCTATTTGGAGTATCCTGTTATTACTGACTTTCTAAAGGTGTATTAACAAACCCCACCCTCAGAATTTTTTCTACAAGAAGCAAATTTTTTAATTTGTACTTTACAACTGGCTCCACTGTAAGTCATGATGCAGAGAAGAAAAAAGGCATGGAATCGACACAGCTCTTGAAGCACAAAAAGTCTGATTTGCAAACACATACAGCCTCCCAGGACACAGGATGTTAAACCACTAGAACTGCCTCTTTGTGTTTGAATATACTTACTTCTTACTTTTCTATCCATCTAACAAATGAATGCAGGAGACTGTGAGATTCTAGGCACTTTCCAAAACACATTCCCTCCTCTAAACAGCTTTGAAGTTTTACCCAGTAATGGTCTGAAGACTGACGATGAAGGACTACAGCACTTCAGAGACACTGGGTGCTCAGGCAACAAGTTTGAGTATCTGTTACCCTCCTGTATTCTTCTAACTTCAGAGAAAGAGTAAGATTTCACAAAAAGGAGGAAAACAAAATGTATGTGTCTGTCAGACGTGCTAGAAAAAACAAGTATGGAAGAATTTCAAACAGAATATTTTCTTCCAACTGCCCTTCTACCCTGCCCAATAAAAACAGACCTGATCATGCTAGTTCTTATATTAAAAGCATTTCAATTATACCCTGTCATAATATTGACTATTTGATCCAAATTCCTCTTCATTCATCATCACTTCTTTCCATGTAAGATTTTTTATGGAGTAGTATTCAACACCTGGGTAGAGATCACACTCACAGTTTCAGTCCAACATTGTAACTTCTTTTTGTATACTCTGCAGTTGATTCCAAGTCTTCTTATTCCATGAGAAATTTGACACACAACACACATTCCAAATAAAAACATTTTTAAAAACTCCAGCCAACCCATTCCTGTATTGCTTAAAAGCAGAAGTTGCCCTTACAGCGATTTCTTATTTTAGAAAATGTTGTTCTGAAGTAAGTCTTCACATACAGTGTGTCCCCAAATGATACTTGGGGTCTTTGGCCAGTAAGCGTCAAACAAATACCGCTGAAACGGTATCTGCTATACCTGCAAATAAAACAAAGGTATTATTTTTTAATAAATACTGGAAGTAGGGACTTGCCAGAAAGAAGTTACCAGTATTCATATTAATATAATGTCCTCTCTCCTCTGCTCCAGGACAGCAGGTGAACTGCTGAGGTGCAGGGGAAGGCAGGAAAACAGCTGCAACCTTTTTATTTCTTCCTTGCCTGACACTGTTTATAGTTGCGAAATACCAACTTTCCTCCTTCCTCTGCTTTCACATTCAAAACTTTAGATCCCTTCTACAGATTCAGCATTGGTCCAATCTGGGTGCTGAAAAGCAACCTAAACCTCGATGTCCTCTTCCCTTTTAATCATATGTATTAGCAATGTATAGACAATATGAAGCTATGCAGCTTTGCAAGCTCACCAAGAGAACAGAGACCACAAATTCCACTACAAGACACATTTTTGAACACTCAACACATACAAACACAGAACAAACCAGGCTTTTATTTATGCCCAGTTCTTTTTGTATCGCTCTACTCCTTCCAGCCCTAAAAGCAAAGTCTGCCTATAGTCTGTGAAGGCAGCAAAGGTTAATGGCTCTTACATCCTCAAAAGTTGCATCAGAGCATCTCTAAATCAGAAGACAACATCTGTGGGGGGAAGACAGCAACTACTGGCCTTTGCTAGATTCTTCTTGTGTGGGACACTACAAAAACATGAAAGATCCTGCTTTTTGAGAGAACAGAATTTGAAAACAACACATCTGTTCTTCCTGACCAGCTCTACAATTGACTTGCTTTTATTATCACTACTTCTAAATTTATCTTTCCAAAGAGTTTGTTTATGCAACAAGAACAAAAGTTTCAGCAATGTGGAAAAGCTATGATGTCCTGATCTTTACTGGGTACAGGCAAACTGAAGATCATCTGTTCCTATTTGCACACGATTTGCACCCTCTAACACCTTTTACAATGACTGACAGCTACTGTGAAACATGCATGGAAGTGAAAGTCAACAGAAGACCTCCAGTGTTCATCTAACAGAAAGAAGGAAAAAAAACAAAAAAATCAATTTACACACAACATTTACTATCTAATAGTTCAATCCTAGAAATTTGGCTCAGCAGTCTTTGCTGGTAAACAGGAGCTCCACCTGCCTTACCTCCATACTCAGCGACTCAGAAGAAATGGGGTATTTAAAGTGACAAAACCCCCTCAAGCACCAAGAAACACTACTTGCAGACAGTAAGATCTGGGAGGTGGAACATGCACTGAGAGTACGTACCTCTATCTTAACAAGAAAAGCCACAAGCAAGCTACAAAATTCCCACACACTGGCAGATACACTTTTCATACTTGTTTGCTAAACTGAGCCCAGAAACAAGGCCATCCACCAGACAAGGGCAGCAGCTGGTTTATCTACACTGAGTGTAGCAATGGCATTAACCTAGAACCATGACACACAACTGTATACTTTGCCTTGTAATGTATATATTGTAATGTATATGTTACCTCTACACGGTAAGGTACAATAGTACTTTATCTGTTATGCCTGTACCCTTTTATGGTGTTTTTCAGTCATTCAGCTATATGGCTTAGTTGAACTAGCAACTGCTTCATTTATTTTTCCATCTGGACTCATCTAACCTTTTCTAAAATGTGCCAGTGACTTGCACTTCCTCTCTGAGGATCCCATTATATTGCTTTACTTACATGGAAAAAACATATCCGAGCAGGTGGCCTTTACCACTAATAATTTTTTGTCAGACTTACCACAGACATTCCTGCCTATCTTAACACGAACGTAGCCATCTATTCCCCATGTGGGCCCCCAAGAGTTCTGTACAATCCAGTAAGGGGTACTACCTGGAAGAGACATTTTCATAAACAAGAGACAACATGAGATTTGGGAAGCATAAAAAACTTCTAACATTCCCCAGAGTTAATTACCATTTTAATATCTCATAGTTTCCGATGGTTTGATGATACAGTACAGTGAAACCTAATGCTGTTCACATGGAGGACAGAGCTAATATGCCAGTGTTGAACAGCCTGGTTATATCCTCTGCTGGCATAAAGACACATACAGCCATTTTCTTGACTTTACAAGGACATGAAATCCCACAGAACTAATGGAGCACAGACACAAAATTTTTCTTCTGGGATCAGGCCGCATTTCCAGAACTTGTGTGACACCAAGCCAAACAGCTCCCAGCAGAACCCCCAGTTCCGTATTTGAATTACTTACCCTGCAGGAGACAAGTTGCAAGTAAGTGAAAAAACACAAAACCTACTGGGTTGAAGTGCAGTCAATGGGAACGCACCTGTTCTGTCAAAACCAGTGATAAGAACAGCATGATTTGCTCTTCCACTGGAACAGTGATATTGTATGATTCCACCAAGATAATCCTGCCAGCTAACTGCATCTACTGTTACTGCCAAAGGGCCCCAGTTCACAAGCATCCTCATCATTTCTTCTTCTTGACCGCTGTGAAAGGAGTGATAATGCCAAATTACTTACATTAGCACACTAAAGCAATCTGAGAGGTGGTAATCTACTCATTAAATATGATTTAGAAGTGA